TTAGTCACGGAACTCTGGGATATTCGGTCGGACTCTAGGATATAATGTTCTCCACTGCTTATTGAACATGTCACTAGTCCATCGGTTATCCACATCTACTTGGATCGTGAGTCTTATGTGCAAGTAGTCCTTATTGGTAACATTCTTGAGCTTGGGACTGACGTTTTCTGGGTTGAGCTAAGGCAGTACGGGGTGTTCGATGCAATCCGTTCGCATCAACACTTTTCACAATCATAAGTACCCGTAGTCAGGACGAGGGCGAGTCTGGACTGAACATCATAGTGCTTCCAGACTCTAAGGCCCATCCTTAGCTCTTCTCCAGGTCCATCGCTTCTCACACGTTCCACAGTCACTTTTCTTTCCACACATTCCCACTTGGCGATCCTGTATCCATTACCTAATTCCCATTTCCATACAAATTCCTGTCTCCGTGAGAAATTCCAAATCACTTCGTATCAAATGGATCCACGAAGATCAGCAATTCAGTGTTGCCGTTGAAGGATCCAGGCAATGAAGGTATGTGATCCATGGCAATGATCAGGAATGGATATTTCGCCTGAAGGTTACCAGGTGACTCGCCCTGGATCCGGGGGCGTCCTTTGCCTGTTTCACAATCAATACATTCCCCCACATATCGCTGTCACTCTTGTATAGCCCTCTCCAGTGGAAATGATCGCGGATCCGATCATAGGTGCGATCGATCCCTTGATGGCCACCCTGCAGGCTCGTGTGATAGGGATCCAAAATGTCCTATTGAAGCGTCTCAGACATCATTAATCGCATCAACTTGTCTCGATCTGCAGCTGCTTCCTTAGGTGTCGGACAGTAGAAGAGTAAATCCGACTGATCCACTTCATAATAAATGGCAATAGATCCAAACGCCTTAGCATCCTCTTGTGTCAGATCCCGGATCTCTCCAACCAATTACTTCTTCAGAGCCAGGATCCACGACTCTTCATCCCATGCTTGCCGGATCCGCTCGATCCTCAGCTTTCTCACAGCTTTCTCTCGTAGGGAGTCTGGATCAGATCCAATACGTACTCCATATCTAGCCTTAGATCGGGTCGTCACGACCGATATCTATGTGATCTCGTCTTCGATTTTCACTATCAGGATCACATCCAACAGGTTTAAAGTTATTAGATCCTGGACCTCCTTTTCAGAATCTACCTCGATCCCACATTGTCGTTGCAGAGCAGCGCTTGCTAAGCTGTCGGTATTCCCGTTTCAATCTCGTTTTACATGTAACAGCTCATGGTCAGGCCAAGTATGTAGTCGATCCAAAGCCCGCTGGTGTAACAGTGTCAAACCCGGTGCCTTACCATCGATCTCAACTCGTACTTGTCGGATCACCAAGTTCGCAGCGATCTTGGCTTAAAGTACCCCGAAGGACCGATGGGCATGGATCCAACACGCATCCACCTCAGTAAGATCCGGCGCCTCCAGATCCAAAGTCTTTCGGTGATCGATCACTTGATCTTCATGTGATCCTTGATCCACTCTCTCTATGTAATATCCGTTGGATTTGCACTTGGGTGGTGTTCTTCGTCACCGCAGCGAAGTCGAGTTCACGTAGCCTGTATAGGACCGACGCACAAATAGCATAGTCTTCGATGAACCGACTGTAGTAGTTCAAACTTCCCAAAACTGACTGCATAGCTCTGAGTGATGCTGGGAACGACGCTAGATCAGTCAGTGCTGACAGATATTTCAGATTCGCCTCCAGTCCATGGTGAGGGACCTTGTGGCCGAGATATTCCACCTTAGGCATTCCCCCAAAACCCTTAACCATACTGATCGTTAGATTCCCCTTATCACAGGCTTCAAGTAAACCATCAACTCAATCGCATAGTTGATCCCAATTATTGGTGGGGATGAGGATGTCATCGATATATGATCTGTGACCAAACACCGATGGTATACCTGGATCCACCTGTTCCCTATCTACAAATGCATCCAGGGTGCTTCCGTGATCTTCAGACTTCGGGATCCGGGTGAATCCATATAGTGCGTGGTCGAGCATACGTTAATAGATGTGGAGCGCATTCTTTAAGCCAAAAGGCATTCGATTCCATTCAAATAACACAAACGGAGTGATAAAAGCCGAGATCAAATGAGCACGATCCGTTATTTTCACTACCCAAAATCCACTCGCCATAACCATAGAACAGTACCGGAGTGTTGACTCTAGATCTTCAAGTAGGTCGTTGATCAATAGCCTTGGGTAGATTATCAGCTGGGTAAGACTGTTAACCAGCCGGTAATCGATCCAAAACCTGATATCCACTCCATTCTTCTTGATGATCACCACGATCAGAGAAGCTCCCGGTGATCTAGAGTAATTGATCATCTTGGCGGACAATAGACCTTTGTTCAGGTCCGCCAGCTTCTCCCTGACCTGGATCCGCAACTTACAACATTTCAGGGCAATAGGTCTCGTTCCTCCGACATCGATGTCGCACACCACACCTCTGGCCACCGGCAGAAGGGAATTTCCTTTGCCGATCAAGAGGTGTCGGAACTTTCCAGATTTTTTGGCGGAGTCGATCAATTGCTTCTGGGTTCGGTTACCAGATCTGCATAACTGAATGGCCTCGATCTTCAACATCTTCCGTCGTCACAGGCACTTCTGGCAGTACCGCCATCTGACTGTCGAAATCTTCAGCATATTGATCACTTCCTTCATGGTAGTATACACATTCATCATAATCTTGATCTGAGTCCCAGGTGAGTTCCAGATCGGAGGTGCCTGGTTGATATTCAACCACAGATGATGCATTCATGTCCGTTTTTTTGCGACATAGATGCGGCCAAGTTGTCGTTCGACGGATCACCGGTCACATGTCCCGTCCCAGATTGTACATTCATCATTGATGGCGGATCCGATCCGGCGCATTTCAACGGTGGTGTTCCCTGATCTTGACCTCTCGAATATAGTTGATCCTGACTGGCAACTCCAATTCCGTCTCGGCCTTCCTCTTCTCGCGTTCCCACTACACCTGTAGTTTCTTCCAACGGCATCTTAGTCGCCCACACGTCTGACTTGATCGAGTTCTTCTAACGCCATCTTGACGGTTACATCATGCGATATAGGGTCTTCATTTGCGATAGACGACAGATCCGACTCCTCGCTTGTGACGGACGCGATTTGTCCGACAGCTAGATGTCCGAGGGTGGACAGTCCGGGACCTCTTGATCCTGACTCGCCTCGTCCTTCTGGCACTGAATCAACTTCGCTTGAGGTCTCCGGGGTAGTACGCGCGGGGTTTCGTACTCGGGCCGCTCCACCGGGGCATCAGCGGGACCTCGACCTCAATTTCTTTGGGGCGAGTGTCTATCGTAGCTTCCAACACTAGATTCTGCCACTCCAGGGCCGATCGAAATGAAACCGTGGCACGTGGTCCCCGGCCAGCCAGATCCCGATCCGTTGGTCTTGATGTAGGATCAACACCTCATCCCCTATGTTGGCGATTCATATATATATCGCCATGCCTGGTCCATTCGATATTGTCGGCACCCATCGATCCCCACGCGTGACACACAGCTTGTCGTGGATCGACAATCTCTGACGCAATGACAGTCTCACCGACACTCCTGCTGCCTCCGAAGGTATTGACCGGCGTTGACGATCCGCCTTGTCGCTATAAAGCTGCTATCTCCCACTATGCTGTATCTGATCTTCATCCGGCAAACTGATCGGTCCATTAGCTGGATTCAGGCGGATTCCGGCTGGAACCATGAAGTACATACCAAGTATAGCTTGTTGACAAGTCAGGTCGACGATCCAGATGTCGAAGGAATATACCAGTGATCCAGCGAGAGTAACCTAGATCCGGGTTCTTCCTTCTGTCCGATACACATTGGCACAATTCCCACACAATCCTGGATCTGGCTCGAGTCAATATAGCGCCCAACATTACGAGCAAAGGCGGTATCCACGATGGACACCTCGACGCCGGTATCTAAGAGTAAGATCGCTTTCTTATTGTGGATCTTGTCTGTGATCTTCGCTTGACGAATCCATTTACCTGGAGAGTGATCTTTCCAGTAACCACGGGACTCTCCTGGTAGTAGATCCATGGTCGTCGACCGTCGGGACTCTGATATCCTGCTAGGCCTCTAAATCTCCGGAGTAACCTCATGATCTTAGGGTTTAAACCATAGATCTGGATCTTTCTGCCTCCAATAACTCCGTGACCCTCCTGGTTGCATACTCATGGTGACTTTCGATCCGGCATACTCGTCGATTTGGCGAAGACTTGAAATTACGAAGGTGCGTTTTCCATGCAGATCACTTGTATTACTGTGTAGATCTGGTCGTTCACTAACCTGATCTACCGATGTCTTGCTCTCAAATGCATAGATGCTGTATCTAGAACGCTCGGCTCGTATCGGGTTCCACCCCGACGAGCGTCCTAGTTTAACATCTTCTCGGCAGCCTCGGGTAACATACCCTTGTTCTTCGTGGGGTTAAACTACTGATGGAACTGGGTATAGAACTCTTCCATCGGACATTTTTCCATGTCTTGCGGTTCTCCACATCCGCGACACACGAAGAGGCAGTGATCCAAGGAGTGGCTTCTTTTGCCACACTTCATGCACGTAACACGCCTCCAGCATCAAAGATCCGAATGCTTCCTGGATCCACAGTGCGAGCATAGATCACGGTTAAACCCATTACCGTGGATCTTCGAGTTGTGATCTTGATGATTATGATCACGGTCTGGAAGTCGTGGATCCAGGTTCGTTGACTCTTTCTCCACCTTCGGGGTGGCGTCTTCGTTTGCTGCAAGGAAGTTCCTGCGATTACTGTCGATGTCCGAGTCCGATCCGACCGATCCGTCAGACTCACTGCCGGATCCAGAGTCGTTAGCTTGGATTGGATCGCACGCATTTTTTCGCTGGAGCAGAGGGGGCGGTGTTGGTTGGCGTCTGTCGGTACTTGCTGGATTCGAACGCGGCCTTCTTTTAATGATTATTAGCGCGATCCCGAGCGCGAAGGACTTCTTCAAGATCATCCGCGTCGGTCAACCGCAGCAAGGTTAACCGTTCCGCTAGATCTTGATCCTCAAGCGTCTCGATGTAATGATTTACATGTTGACGTCGTCCCTTCGTGCTGCCATCCTTGATCTTCAGTTTCGCGCGGAGTCCCGCCACATTGAGTCGATACAAGTAAACCAGTGGTGATTTGTCGAATCTGTGTCGCGTATGGTGTATTGGGTTGCTACCGATACTCCAAGTCCGCAGTACTGGATCTGGAAACTTCGTAGTAGATCACTCCATTTGTTGCGAGTGCATCTACGCGGCTGGCAATACCAGTTCTTCGTGGATCGAGCGAGGAGATCTGTGAAGGTCAAGCATTTTTCGTCATCCGATGCTTGATCCCGCTTAAACGCCGACTTGGCCTTGCTGATCCACGCTCGGGCTCGAACATCACCCGGATCCTTGCCAGTGAGATCTTTGAGATCCGAGATCGCGGAGATCCGTATACGCTGTATCATGGTGGAACCTGTGTATTCAGCAGCAGCAGTTGCCATGGTGGCTTGGGCCGAGGTGGGAAAGTCTACATCGTCCGAGTCATATTCCTAGCGAGATCCATGATCGGAAGATCGAGTGGACTCCATCTCGACATCTTGTGATCCTTGATGTTGTGGGCGTGTAGAAGCTGGATCTTTGTTCGCCTCACGTTCTTCGGCCAGGTATCGGTCCATTGCACCATCGAAGAACTTCTGCAAGGTACCGACGGATCGATCTGAACTCTCGATGAACATGTCTTGATCCGTTGGTGCGGATCCATTATCACAGTGATTGCTTTTGGCTGGACTAAAGCGGCGGATCTTGGATCTAGCCTCCAGCATTGATGCCCAGAGGGTCCTAGGGACATCCGTCGCGGTGGCTCCGAGGAAGTCAGATCCATCTTCCGCGGCTGACGCATAATGTGACGACACTGTCAAGTTATCGACACCATAGGTCGTGGTCAATGGCAGTGGATCCGGGCTCTGGGGCACCTCGCCGACTAGGATTTTCAACGTCTGGAAAAAATCGCGACTGGTAGTTTGGATCACATCAAGATCCAACTCAAAACGTTCTCTGCGTCAAATGATCCCAGGATCATACCGCCTCTTTCAACAGGCTTATCGGCTCCTTCGCTGCGTCCAATCTGTTTGTCAGTGCGGCAGGGGCGGTCAAAGGGTGCTTTGGGTCCGCGGTCTGCTTGAGCTTCCTCATCCGCATCATTGGATCCTGGTCCACGAAGTCACGTAGCTCCTTTCGGTGATACATGGACTTCATACCTTCTTCAGACCAGCCAGATTCGGGGTGATCTTCATCTTCCTCGTTATTTCGCGCTTTCATCTTCTTCCGCACAGTCTTGGATCTTGGCTTCCCGACCTCGGATCCAGAGACTTGCG